CAAGCATTTCAGGTCCTCCTCAGTTTCAGCAAGCAGGGTTGTGTCATCTGCATAATGCAGATTGTTAATAGATCTTCCACCAATCCTGATACCACACTTCTCCTCATAGATAACAGATAATCTGTTCTGCATACAGGTTGGAAAGGTATGCAAACCAAAGCAATCATCTCATCCCAACAGTAGTAGCAAAGTTTTACAACACAGCATACAATAATAACAAGTTGAAGAGGATGTGGACAGATTAAAACTCTCATGCACTGCTGGTAGGATTGTAAAATGGTGCAACCACTATGGAAGGCAGCTTGGCGTTTCCTGAAAAAGTTGAACATAGAAATCTCTCATGACCAGCTACTGCCAGGAAAATACCCCGAGGAAATCAGAACTGAGTCAAGAATGGAGATGTGTATGTTCATAGCAGTGTTATTCATAGTATCAAGTAAATGGAAACAGTTGAAAATGCCTATCAACAAACAAATGAATTGAGAGACTGTGGTACATTCACACAACGGAATACTAAGCAGCATGAAGGAACAATGATTTCATAAAATATTATTTAACATGAGAGAGACTAGAGAGCATCATACTGAGTAAAATAATTCACACACATAAGACCACTATTGTAAAAATACTGCATAAGACCACTATTGTGAAAATAGGAGGATAACTGAACAAGATATGTATAAATGTTAAAAAGGGGAAAGTGAAGGGATGAACAGGGGTCAAAATGGGGACGAGTGAAATCACTAGGATAATGTAGATTAGTGGGTGAATGGAGGATGAAGGAGTAAGAAAGTTTCAATGGGGACTTAAAGAGATGAGATGATAATAGACATAGATCAAAAGTAATTAATTATATAAAATACAATGTGTATAAATGATTATATAAAACACAACATACATGAATGAAACACAATGTATATGAATGATTGTATGCAAACCAACAACAAATGAAAAAAAGAGATTGGTTAGATATCATAATAAATTAATTACATTAAGTAATGAAACTTATACTTGGACCAGGAGGCAGTCGTCAGAACAGAGCAAGGGAACACTGCATGGTTCAAAATTGGGAAGGGCGTACGCCACGGATGCATCCTATCTCCATACCTTTTCAACCTATATGCAGAACAGATTATCCGGGAGGCTGGGCTCTATGAG